TTCAACTCACAAGTACTAATGAACTCATTAAACTTGTGCATGCTAGTTGTGATAGTCTAATGTGGGTTGCTGATTTCATTACAAAATTTGATTACATTAAAATCCCCACCCACACACCAAGGTCCTTTCCACAAGCCATGTATTCCATACAATTCCTCCTACATCTCATTTCTTGCCTTATAGTTGTTTGGCCCATACAAATTGGTTAGAACCCAAACAAAACCATCATCCACATTTTTGAATTTTAACGAGATTGAGAAGTTGCCTAACAGCTCCTCTAGAGGTTCCACAACATCTTCCCGCCGGATGGTGACCAGACATCCCGAAGATCCCCAAGATGGCAAAAAGGACCAATTTACTCTTTTGATTCTCCACACACTTCTAATCCAATTCTTGTCGAGCTCTTGTAGCTTTGTTTCTTGCGGCAAAACTATATTAGGTCTCTCTTTCCTTAATAGGTCTTTAATTATTCTCATTTTCCTTGCACTCCCTAGACCTCTAACATTCCAACTGATAATTTTCATGAGAAAAACTTGCTAAGTAATCCTTATAACCCACCAAAAACCCCTTAGCCTCTTTTCTTCTATCCCCTTGGGTAGTGAACTTAATATCACCCTCAATATCTAAGATTAATCTCTCTACCTCCATCTTTTTCTTATTATTTCTTTTCCTTTCCCACCCCTTTGGATTGAAGACCCCACTTCTACTACCTCTTCCAAAATCTGACCAGACTTCTTGGTAGACACCTTGTTTGGACTTCTAACTGGACTCTCACTACCTAATCTTTTTGCATCTACAATCTCCCTTTTCTCCAAGGGTCCTAGAGGGTTGTTGTGGCTCATAGATTCTTCCTTTGCACTATACTCCTCTAGTAACCCACAAATTTGTTGCCATATTCTCTCTAATTCCTCCTCTCAAACTCACTTCCAAATTCAAGTCTAACTTTAGAAACAACACCTTGAGGCTGAGATGCTGGCATATTTGTCACAGACAAAGAACAGAGGTCAGTACCAAAAACTAAAGAAACAAGGTTACCCGAGGTGGGATTGGACGGTTAAGTACACAAAATTTGATCATTGATTCCAAAAGTTTGGATTTTTCTGAACCCCTGGACTTGTACGAAGGGAAGGAGAAACTTGAACTGGAAAAGCATCAGAGACCGGCTTAAAGGACTACCCCTATTTTGGCGTTCTTGAGCTAGTCTTTTTGGTAGAGTCTTGTTCCACAAAGGCTATATCTTGACCAAGTTGAGCTGTCCAAGCAGATTCCCCTACTAGTGTAGGAGTTGTCTCCGCACCTATGTCTGACTTAGTAGTTCTCTTCCCCAACTCTTCACGAACACCAATCGTGTTTCCAAACATCAGGTCGGAGGAGCTATCTTCTTCCAGAAAAAGGATCTCTTCCCCAGCTCTTCACAAACACCAAATAGTGTGCTTTGTTGAAACAAATAATTATTTATTATTTAATTAATAATATTTATTTATTTATATTAAATAATAATAATATTTATTATTATTAAATAAATATTATTATTTCTTCAATTAAAGAAATAATAGTATTTATTAATTAATAACAATATTGATTTATTATTATTAAATAATATTTAATAAAACGATTTAAATAAATGATAATATTTGTTATTATTAAATACATGATGGTAATGATGGCATTAATTTCATTTCATCACATTTGAAATGCGTTTAGTTTTGGTAAGACATAAGACCTGGTCTTATGTTAGAAATAAAAGTATCTAAAACACCCCTTAGCCCTTACCTCTAGAAAACAAGTTTTTCATAGTGTTATTAAATGCTACCTAAAATTTGATTATGATAAAAAAAGAGATCAGGGGCAGGCACCCTATTCCCTGTATCGACTCTGACTTTTAAATTAATTTTCGTCCTTGGCCCGATTCCCATCAGAGAAAAAATTTAGCCCCGTCTCCAATGGAGACAGGTTCCCAATTGGGGACTCAGATCTCTGAATTTTTAATTAAATATTTTTTGGAAAATGTTTACTTAAAATAAATGAAAAATTATTTATTATTGTATATATAAAAATAAAAATATTATATATATATAATATTATACATTTAAAATAATTTATATATATATATATATATATATGTGTGTGTGTGTGTGTGCATGCATGTATGTATTAGGCTTGAATAGGCTCGCAAGTCTCATGAACCAAGCTACATTGGGCTCGAGTTCGGTTCGATTAGAAAATGAACCTGTATATTGGATTTGAACTCATTCAAAACTTGATTTAAAACGAGCCGAATCGAGCTTTTCACAAACTGAGCTTGAATAGCTTGGGAAAAGCTTGATTCATTTCCACCCCTACCGCCAAGAAAGTCTCCATCCCTGTCTCCACTAGGTTGGGATGCCAGGTATCCCATGGGGATGGAAAAAGTTGCCATCCTATTTATGAATTTTATATATTTGACAGATGTATTGGACAATTTTAGGATTATTATAACCCCTTGCATTCCAATTTAAAAATTTCATGATAATGGTGATGGCCAAAATAGAACAATGAGATTATGATGACAACTATAATGGAGAAAGATAGATAAAAGAAATACTCAATATATCCCACATGGTCATGTAATTAGGGTTGACAATTTCAACGTTTGGGTCAGCGGGTTATTGATCAAGTCAAAAGGTTTGTTTTTGCAAAAGAATGGTTAGGACTTAGGGGTGAAAAATCAATTACCTCACAAATTTTCGGGCCGAACAACCCAATTGTTTGGACTAACGACAATTTGAGAACCATGCACTATTAGATATATGTAACCTCGTACAATTTTTTGTATAACAAACAAAATATATTATTTTTCATTTTTCTCATGGTGCCCTCGGCACGGTACCAAATAGCCGGGTGCATGAATTGAGCTTTTCACGAGTTATTTGAGCTCAGTTTGTGAAAAGCTTGATTTGGCTTAATTTAAATCAAGCTTCAAGCCCGATATATAAACTCCTTTGTTAATCAAGCCAAGTTCAAGCCTAATGAAGCTCGGCTTGTTAGGCTTGTGAGCTTAATCAGGCCTAATGCATATATACATACATACATATATAATAATTTTTATTATATAATAATATTATATATATAATATTTTTATTATTTTATATATATGATAATAAATAATTTTTATAATTCTTAAATTTTCTATGTAAAATGAAAAATAATATAAATATATAATATTTATTTTTTATAGTAAATTTGGTTTACAATCGAGCTCGAATCTAACACTATTTTGGTGAGCCAAACTCAAATAGCCAAGTATTCGGCTTGGCTTGATCAAATCCACCCGTTCATCATTTTTCTCATGTTTTTTTTTTAACGGGATTTCCTACTCACTTCCTTTATCTGATCTCTACTAGACTTGTTCATGGGTTGGGAAGCCCGATGGCCCGGCCCCTGGCCGGACTTGAACATGACTTTTAGCCCGCAGGCTTGACCTCGGGCCTAAAAGCTCGGCTCGATTATTTTTCGGGCTGGGTTCAGGATTTGTCAAAAAAGCCCGGCCCGACTAGTTTCTAAACCCTAAATCCCTATTCCCTAACTCGACTAATCTTTCTCAGTTTCCCTCTTTTCATAATTTTGTCTTCTCATTCTCACTCTCATAGTCTCAGGCACCAGCAGACTCAGGCACCTTTCTCACTCTCAGAGGCGAACTTAGGCACAAATGCCACCAACCTCTCTCTCTAGCAGTGACCACTGACCAGGTCCTCTCTCTCTCTCTCTCTTTATCTTCCTCTCTTTGTCTCCGGCGGTTACAACAAGTTTGTAGTTTATTTCCAAAAACCACTAAATTCTATGTAGAGCTTTTTTGCCTTCTATTGACTAGCCCACGTCTCCATTACATCTACAGAAATGATTCTAG